ACCTGCTACTGGCTTCATCAACACATATAAAATCCAACCCTAGCTGGCCCTAGCTCATCTATAATGGGGCGCAGTAAAGCTTTAAGGTCCGGGGTCAAAGATGCCAAGAGCATGCCACAGGTCATGGCCGGGCATGAGGGGTCCACTCCTTATATGATGATTTCTTCCTTTTACTTATATCTACAGGCTTCTAGTGCACAATCTAGCCCCCTTATCCCCCGAAGCCCTTCCCAAAGTCCCAACAGCCCAGCTGAAAAGCCTCTTGGTTTGGTTTGGGGGGTCAAACCAGGAACCCCAAGGGACCCTAGTCAAGCCAAAACCAGAATCTGTATCCCCAACCCTGGAATCATGCTGGCCCACAAACCAGGCCCCTCTGTCTGCTAGCTCAGGCATGTGGTTCGGAGAGCCTTCGAAAGGATCTTGCTCAGCTTCAAGGGTTTCAGCAGAGCTGCCCTTGAGCACTTTTCTAAATTTGTGAGCGCTTTTGGGGTTTGAGCGAATTTACTGGGGGAGGGCAGGCCGCATAACGGGCGCATATTCCCGCTAAACGAGCGCATATTCGCGCAAATGGGCGCATATTCGAAAAGTGTGCGAACCCCTCGTGCAGAAACCCAAAAGCTTGTGCAGAATTCCTCAAACTGATCAGATGCACCTGGCTGGGGATCCCTAGCTGTAATTCGGGGCCCAATTCACTGCGATTCTGCATTCAGAACAAGCAAAAGGCATGCTGGATTGGGCAAGCCGATTCTGTTTGTCAGCCTGTTGCAGCATTGCTTGGCATTCGGAAGCATGTGCCACACCCTTAAAGCCATATACAGGCCAAAGTTTTCAGCTAGGCGCTGATGGCAGCTCGTTTGTCGAGCTGTTCAACATTGATTGCTGGTGTGTCTTTGATTGGTAAGATGGAAGCAGAGGGCAAGCAGGCTTCCCAGGCAGACATCGCTGCAAAGATTGATGTTGTTTGTCTGCAATTGTCTATCTGCTGATTTTGGGAATGGCGGGTCCTGCTCCATGGGGCTAGCTAAGGCTGCCAGGGCACGGATCCAGCAGCTACAGCTATCGTTGCAGCGTCAGCCCAGCGCAGCTTCGGTTGGTTCACCTGTGCCAGGCGCTGGTGCCAGTTTAGCATATAGGGTTTAGGGTGTATAGTTTAGGGGTAATTAGGGTTT